CACTATGACTGAAGCCAAAACCCCAGAACACACTTCTCTCTATAAGATAACCAAATACAATACAGAGCTTTGAATATACAAATATACAGAACTCTAGGGGGACTACGAACCCTTAGAGAGCAATCGTTAACATGAAATGGGTACCTACCCTTACCGTTCACTTACAGCAGGCCCAATTGGGATATGGAATGCCGTGGATCAACTCAGAGCACCGTCGTGTCTGATCCCCACCGCAACTTGGACTTAGTACAGCTGGAGACCCTCACGCGGTACACTAGGCACCCGTCCTGCGCGCCTTACGAAACCCCTTGTGCTTCACAAGGTAAAAAGCTCTATGATTATCTTTCTTATACTGCTAAATCTTTCTCTTGGTATCATATGTTCCATATTTCACTTGATCTATTTGGATCCGGGGTAAATATCTTGGTTTCAGTATAGCTAAGTACACTCATCATGGTTGAACTTCAAACACACTTGGTTTCACTATGCATCCACGTAGCATCATCGGAAGTGAGGCACATCACCTCACTTCACACTGACTAGTCACCACTTGATCGCGTTACACTTTGGCTCAGGTCTCTGACTTCAGAAGGGATTCCATAACATATCGTAACATGTAATCCATCGTAATAGACTTGAATCTCTGGATCTAGTCTTGTTTAATCGTAGAATCTTTGAATCCGTAACGTAATATCTTCATATACACGTTGATGCTCTTGATTCTTGACACATTGGCGTCCGGATTCAGGGATTTCCATCGGGATTCAGGGAATTAGTCACGGAACTCTGGGATATTCGGTCGGACTCTAGAATATAATGCTCCACACTGCTTGTAGAACATGTCACTACTCCATCTGTTGTCCATCTCTTGTTTGATCGTGAGTCTTGTGCGTAAATAATATCTATTGGTAACATTCCTGAGCTTGGGACTGGCGTTTTCTGGACTGAACTAAGGCAGTACGGGGTGCTTGGTGCAATACGTTTACATCAACACTTTTCACAATTGTAGGTACCCGTAGTCAGGACGAGGGCGAGTCTGGACTGAGCATCATAATGCTTCCAGACTCTAAGGCCGTTCCTTAGCTCTTTCCAAGTCAATTAATTCTCACACGTTCCACAGTCACTTTTCTTTCCACACATTCACACTTGGTGATCTGGCATCCATTACCTAATTCATGGTTCCACACAAATCCTTGCTCCCATGAGAAATTCCAAATCACTTCGTGTCATGTCCGGGTTAGGTGGAGTTCAATCGTATATCACTGCCATGGCTAGAGTGAAAATCACACTTGAAATGATCGTCGTGTATGTCATGAACGTTTGGCTGGCAAATATAGGTGAAGGGTTGGAAGTCCTGTTGGGAATGGATTTCATGTATACCGCGGGGATACGCCTGTTCATGCGAGAAGGTTTAGTGAGGATACCTGATGAAGAAATGGTGGTAATGTGCACTGGACCAAATCGCGAGCGAGTGGGCCTGGATGTGCCAGTACACCCAGATGAGACTCTGCATCTCCAACCAGGCGAACATGCAATTGTCCGAGTGAGATATGGCCAGACGAATCCTCAACGGGAAGTCGTTTGGCCGGGCGAGGAGATCGCTGGGTGACCGAAGTCATTTACGCCTCGAAATCATGGGCGGTGGCTGTCAAAATGGTTAACATTTCGCAGTCGAGACTATGGTTAAGTACTGGAACTGTCGTGGCAAGGATTGTGGAGTATGGTTACTTCCCCCAGGCGGGACGGTTCGTTCGGCCGGGAACGCCGCAATACAAGGAGTGGTCGCAGCTGATCTATGAGAATACCAAGTCCATTGAGCGACAGAGGTATGAACGGAAGCTGACTGAGCTCGAAGAATCCCTGCGACCACCTTGTGTACAGGCCCCTGAGTATCGATAGCCTTCAAAGTTATTGGTGCGTCCGGAATCAGGAGCCACCACTGCCCGCGTGGACTGTCTTCAAGTCTGATCGGCTAGAGACAGGAAAGCGTATGGTCAAGATGAATTCAGATGCTAGAACCCAAACGTGCGAGACCTGCGACGTATCGACGCAGACGGACCCCGGACGGGAGAGCGAATGTGTGAACGTCCCGTATGCGAGTCGAGACAGTTTGTGGGTAGATTACGAAGCCGAACCAGAATCCGAAAGATCAGCGGACCCGGCGGAAGAGTCCGGGCGGTCCAATGCAGCCGACGTTGGAACCCTGCCAGGTTCCTCGAGACAAACGGACGAGCGGACCCCCGTCCAGAAGTTGGAGGTAGTGTATAACTGAGCGATGAAGGCTACGCATGAAGGGTTGGATCTAGAACCTGGTGTTTACATCCATGAGGGAAGCGAGTTGATGTCTCAGCTGGGTGATGACTTCATGATGTTGCCGGATTTGAGCGACCTCACACCTGAGTGTGAAATCTCCAAGGCAGATGTGGGGGTCCCCGGGCGGACCACTCCAGCAGAGGAAGCGCAGCTAAGAGACGTTCTCAGACGACATTCCAAGATCTTCTTAGGTGATGGAAACACGGCACCCGCCCCAGCCCGGGGCGGGGTATGCGACATTGACGTCAGAGGAGCCAAACCGGTACCACTACGACCAAGATCGATAATCCCTAAGGTTGCGATGAAGGTCTACGAGTTACTGAAGAAACTCCTAGAGACTGGACTCATCGAGATGTCTGACTCTGCTTGGGCTTCGCCTATTGTGATCGTCCTGAAGAAGAATGGAGTTGATATTCGCATGTGTATTGAATATCGCCTGGTGAACGGTTTCATTGAGCTGTCGAATTATCCGCTGCCGCTGATTGACGACCTCCTGGTGGGTTTCGAGCAAGCCATGTGGTTCATGTCATTGGACATGGCTAGTGGATTTGGGTCATACGTATGACCGAGCGAGCCAAGCAGATCTCCGCGTTCGTGTGTCCATTCGGCCATTTCCAATGGATTCGAATGTCATTCGGTCTCAAGAACGCCCCGTTGATATATCAAGAGATGATCAACAATTCTCTCTGGGGATTCGTCAGGTTACCGCCAGAGGAAGAGAAGACTGTGGATGTGGACGTTCTGAAGTTCCTAGGTTTAGATCCAGCGGAAGAAGAAGAAGTCCAGCGTGAGAAGTTCGCCCGGGAGGTGCCTATCCTGACAGATAAGATGACGGCTTTCAAGCGGAATATCCCAGCGCCATCGCAGATGGGACCCGTCCTCGGACGGAGTTGTTATATCGACGACATCGCCCATGGGGCGCCCACCTGACGACCAGTTGTGCGAAGATTTGAATGCTCTGCTATATCGGCTACGCTATTGGAATATTTCCGTCAGCCTTCCCAAGACTGAATTCGGCAAGCACGCCATTCCGTATATCTCTCATGAAATTAGTGCCGAGGGGATAGGGGCTATGCCCAAGATCGCGAAGTCCGTTCAAGAGTTACCGTTCCCGACAACGCTCAAAGGAGTACGGTCCTTCTTGGGCAGCCTAAACTACTACCACAAGTTCATCGAGGATTTCTCGGTAGTGGCAGCGGCACTTCATAAATTGACTGATGAGCAGATCAAGGCTGGAAGGGATTTGCCCAGAGCAAAAGAATCGTTCGAGATTCTCAAGCGGAAAATCGTGTCTACACCTCTGTTGCGTCACCCCGACCGACACAAGCCGTTCGTGATCATTCCACATGCGAATCGCTGGGCGGCCTGCGCCGTCCTAGGACAAGAGTATGATGGGAAGATCTTACCCGTACGATTCACCGGACGGGTGCTGAATGAAACAGAGATTAGGTATCATGAAGCAGAGAAGGAGGTGATCGCGATCATGCGAGTGTTGGATGTATTCGGGAATCTCGTCAGGGGATGCCCGATCAAGGTCTACACGCGGTATTCCGTCCTGTCCTGGTTGTTGAAGTCTAAGAGCACCGACGGACGATGGGCACCGACGTCCGATGGGGAGTGATCTTGTCCCATTGGGACTTGGAAGTCCACAAGGTTCAGAGAGACGAGGATGGGTTGGCTGCTATCATGGGAGGAGGCATCACCCCACGAGAGCACTTGCATGAAGTAGCCGAAATCCCTGATACCCCTCAAGGGGCGAGTGAAACCACAACCGGTTATCAGCGTGGAGATGTTGGAAGAAGACTTCGATGGTTATGTGTTAAGTTTCGATGGCGCTGCTAAGACGTCTACGCGTCGGGGCAGCTGTGGATGTATCATCTGGAAACGCCCCGGTTGGAAGGTAGTGACGGCTCAAGGTTTCATACTCGAAGATGTCACTGTCAACGACACAGAGTACCATGGTCTACTCAAAGGTCTGGCCATGGTAGCCGAGCGGGACATCCCAGAGGTTGTTGTCGGAGACTCACGTATCGTGATACAGCAAGTGCAAGGGCTGATTAACTGTAACCAGCCCAATTTGCAGCGGAGACTAGCATGGTATGGTGTCCTACGAGAAAAGTTCAAGTCGGTCCGGCTGGTACATGTCAAGAGAGAATACAACCAGGCGGCCGACTATCTTACCTCGAAGACATTGATGGCTGGAGAATCCTGGATCGTGACCGACCCGGCCGAGATGACGCACTTGGAATGTGTGTCTTCGATTCCAGAGAAGCTGAAGAAGCCGGTAGTCGTTTTGGACTCAGAAGGCCCCGCACGAGACACACCGCCTGGCGAACTAACTAGTGTTCAGCCAGGATCCGAGTCCGCGTCTCTACCAACCCCGGTTAGAATCATGACGGCCGTGACCCGGAGTCATGCTCGCGGAAACCCCAGTCAGAGTGATCCGATGGGACCATTGGAGTATCAAGCGGAAAGGTGGAGACGAATCAAGGCGCACCAAGATGAGGATCACCGTCTGGTAAACCTCAAGAAATTCTTGCGAGGTGAAGTGGATAGTTTCTCTCGCGCGCAGATACGTCGCCTTTCGAAAGAAGCTGACCTGTTCGTGTTAGACAGTCGAGACGTGTTGTTCCGTCGGAACCATTCCGCTCATGGGAGACCCAGAGATCAGATGGATATGTTACGATTGGCAGTTCCGGAGACACTACACCAGGCCATATTGCACTACGCTCATGAGGATTTTCAAGGAGGTCATCAGGGCATAACGCGTACGCATGAGAAACTCCGGATAGATTTCTACTGGTATGGAATGTACGCGGATGTAGAAACGTTCGTCAAAGAGTGCGTGGATTGTGCCAGCGGAAAGGGGCGGCCCCTAACCAGGGCCTCTCCCCCTGGAACATTGAGCCGACTCGCCCATTTGAGATTGTATCTGTGGATTTTGTCACTCATTTGTCAGAGTCCGCCCGGGGCAACACTTTCTTGTTGCTTTTCCAGGATATGTTCTCCGGATATGTCATGTGCAAGCCGATGAGCTCAACCACTGCCCAAGAGGTGACTGAGGCGTATGAAGAACGCGTCTTCCAGAGGTTTGGGGTGAGTTCCATGATCCGCCACGACCAGGATCCAAGGTTTATGGGCGAAGTGTTCAGGTGTTTCAGGGAATTGCTGGGGAGCAAACAACGAGCCACCCTCAGCTATAGACCCCAAACAAATGGCCAACAAGAACGGCCAGTCCAGACGGTGATTCGAAGTGTACGTGCATATGTGGTTGAGGCAGATCAGTCCGGCGGGGACGATCACACCGAACGCCTGATGTTCGTGTTGAATATATCCTTTGACGCAACCCGTCTGGACACACCGTTTTACCTGGTACACGGTTGGGACGCCCAAGGGACAGTGTTAGCAATGTTCGGGCCGAAGCCATCTGGTGTTGTCGAGCGAACCGCGTACGAGTGCCGGAGGAAACGGCAGCGCGATTACAGCTATGCGCAAGCCTGTGCAGAAGATCTGCAGCGGAAAGCCAAGCGGGATCGAGCGATCACACAAACCCAGAAGTGGAGAGCCCTGTCGGATCGGATCAAGGCGGGATTTTCAGTCGGAGACACGGTATGGCTATACATCCCGAAAGTCCAGCCAGGGTATAGCCGCAACTCGTTCACCTGTGGCAGGGGCCTTTCCGGATCGCCGAGGTGACCGACGATTTTCGTGTAAGACTCAAGATTGACGACACCAGCTACCGTGTGAACCCATGGGTCGAGCGTTGTTCCCCAATGCCTCGAGCGTTGTTCCCCAAACGACCGATAGTCTGGACGGAGATCGACGATGACGATGACCTGGATGCAGCTCTGCTGCCAGAAGACAGTTGGGAAGTGGATAACACCAACAGCGAGTATGAATTCGAAGAGATCCTGGACCTACGCTGGTCCAAGCGGACCCGCACTTCCAAGCGTATCCGCGAATATCTCGTCAAGTGGAGAGGCTACGACGAGCCAGACTGGGTGCCACTAGCTCAGCTGAGCTGTGGTGCCCTGCTCTATGAGTTCAATCAAGGGGCGAAAGCCCGCGCACGTTTCCGAGCCATGCAGGCTGGAGACGACCACCCGAGGTAGTAAGGCTTCGGGTGATCCTGCCCGGTCGGACTGCAAAGTCTGGCCGGGCCCCGCGGCTGAGTAATGACATTCGGCCGAGATGCGTGTTATGATGTTGAATTTTTTCTAGGGAGTGATCGAGTGGAGTCCAGATGATTGAACCCAAATGGCAAGTGGTGGACTTAGTGATTTTGACGAATATGCACAAGCAAAAGAGGATGAAAATGCAAAAGATGATATTGACGGATTAAACGACAAAGAGAAGACGCACTGCAAAACAACATAAGGTCTCGATGAGATTGCCCTAGAGGAGAACCTCGGTCGCAGGAGAGTGGATGGGGTTTCGACGGCGAACGTCTTCGGGCTTGAGCTGATCACGGACTTCCTTTGGGACGTGTGCGAATCGGTCGATGTTACTGCAGTATGCTGTCCAGTTGGTACGCGCAGGGAACTCGCGCTCAGCCCCTTCGACCTGTTGCTCCAACGTGAACTTCCAACCCGAGGAGTTGGGAGTCTTGCGGTGTGCCAAGAACAAGTAGCACACTTTCAGTGGGTAAAGCCAGAAACCAGGTTCCCAGACAATAGTTCGCGGAACACCCCTTTGAAACATCCGCTCAAGACGTTTCTCGAAGCCGTGCCCGACCGTTTCATGCCGAGTGGAACGATTCGCGTAGATTGCACTGGATGTGGCATAGGCGTCGCTGCATGAACCAGCACTCTCTCCCTTTTCCGGCTGAGTCTTCATGACGAACCAATGGAGCATGTCCCAGAAGGCTCGAGAGTTGTCCTTCATGAACTGGATGTGTTTGTCGATGGCTTTCACAGCCGTAGGCGAGAAATCAGAGGGCAAATGGAAGTACAAGTACTTCTCCCGGTTGGCGAACATGACCTTCCAGGGCCGCTTGGACATCAACGCGAGATACTGTTTCAACATAGGGATCCAACGCCGCTTGAAGAAGACGATATGGGAGAATTGAGGCGCGTAGTCCCTCAGTGCCATCTTTCTTGGGAGAGAACCGACAGAGTATCCCACGGCGACGCCACGAGATAATACCCCGGCCAGAGCGTTCAATCACAGCCATGTCGGCATCGGACAGCTCATCATACTTGAGCTGCGCCAACCGGGACTTGGAGCGACCGTTGCTCCCACGTGGGCGTGGTCGCTTGGACGACGGTGTGTAAGTCGATCCTTTCCCGCCGGAGTCAGACTCAGATGCGCTTCCAGACGAGTGACGTTTGCGCTTGAAATGAGCCTTCGACTGAGAAGTCGCTTTCTTGCTAGACTTCTTTGTCGGAATATCCTTAGCTGGAGATTCGCGCGGTGAGAGAGAACCCCGTCAGGACCGAGGCTTAGATTTCGCAGCCTCGTTTTCACTGCTTTCATCCGACGAAGAAAAGATCCCGGGGGTTTTCTCTCGTGCCCGGTCACTGGCAGTCTCCGTCTCATCGTTGCTCAATGCGCCACCGTCGTTTA